CTTGTAACCAGTTATGAATTGTACATTTAAACAGGTGATCTCAAATCAGATAGATCTCTCTGCCTTTAATAAACTTGTTTTATTGTTATATCTAGTCCAGTGTGTTTAACTGAAGTGTCTGGGAAACGCCATTTGGGGCGGCAAGTTGCGTCCATATTATTTTTCTTAAAGAAATAAAGGACGTAGTACAGCTTGTACAGTGCAGGAGAGGGCTGGGCAGTACAGGACATACATTTCTGGGGGGAAATCTCAGGCAAAGGAAAAGTTTTTGCTCAGGTCACAGATCTGTCATTTGGCCAGAAGAGGTCACTAGAGCTGCAGAAATCCCCTGGTGGCTGGTGGTTCCAGTGGTTAGTTTGCCATGCCCGGCTCCCTCTCAGCGACGGCGTTGGAACAGTTTTTGTAGTAGTGGTGCTGTGAGCCATTGAACCAAACTGTAAACCCTGCATAGAATGGAACCACTTCAAGCTAGGGGGTGCGGCAGCTCACCCAGTCCCCCTAGCTCCAGCACCTCTGCCTCTCAGTGCACAGACCAGCACAGAGTTCAGTGGTTTTCGGGTGACTCTGAATGCAGCTGACGGTTCTGCCAAGCCCGCAGTTCCCATCCTGGGGGAGGAAGACTGAAACCAGAGGCATGTGATGATATGATAGTGGAGTTACAGGTAACCTGTATCATTCCAGCTGATGGCCACAAGGAGACAGACAGACGGACAGAGGGGAAAGAGAAACAGAAAAGAAAAGAGAAGAAATAAGGAACAGGAGCTCCAGAAACTCCATCTGGGGCAGCTTCAGCTTCCGGGCGCTCCGAACCGTTCTTCCGTCGCCTCCGCTTGGCCATTGCCCTGGACAGCAGCCAGAAGGGGTGGGCACAGGTTGGCAGAGTCCTGGTCACTCTGGGGTCCATTCTTCCATCCCGAAGAAGGACAGGCAGTGACTGATCCCTCGACTCCCCTCTGAGCTCTCTCTGCTTGAGGCTGGCTTTGTGACCCTCGGTGGCCTGGTCCCAGTTTGAAGGTGTCTTTTACTCATTTAGGGGCAAATTCTTCCCCCGGTCCCCAGACAGGTGCAGAAACTGGTCAGGCAGCAGAGCCAGAGAGGTCCTGCCATGTGGAGGTGGCAGGAGACAGGGACTCTGCCCACATGCACCCCCGATTGCCCCATGGGCCCTGCCTGGGATCCTCCATGCCAACATGCAGGGGCAGTTTGAGGTACGGGCTGAAGCCGTTGGTTCCGTGGCTATGGAGATCCACATACAATTGCCCCAGGCAGGGGAGGTGCAATAGCTAGACAGGGGATTACGGAGCAGTTCTGCCCTCCCATGGCAGGTGAGGGTGGGGGAGGGTCCATGCCCTCGCTGCACATGGGCTGTTTGCTCGGGTTGTGCCCAAGAACTAGGGGGTTTCCCATAACAGGAGCGAGGGAGCAATTGGGCTGCAGGGGCCTGTTCATGCCAGAGACACTCCTTGTAATGCACTTCCGGACGGGGTCAGGCAGGAGCCGCCTGT